CTCCCCAATGATTAATTTCCCCTCTTCCTTGGTGGGATTATTTGGAATAATCACCTCCCAAGAATGATTGCCCCCTCCCCACCCCTGTGCTATTGATAGCAGTCAGGAGGGACAACACTATCCATCGCTATAAAGCTGAACAACCTTGCCATGCTGGACTGGATAACTTATAGTCTTTAACAGACATTGTCACTGCTGCTCGCACACCAACCCATTTTCAGACATACCCATGGCAGTAAATGTGGAGGACAGTGCTGAAGTAGAGTCTGATTAGTGAGACTATGTGAGAACTCAAGCTCTGACACCAAAGATATTGAAATCGAAAACCAGTCAAGTGGAGCGCACTTGGAATGCTCCTGTTCAGTTTCCATGATGTGATTATTTTAGGAAAATAAAATATTTAGGGTGCAACTCCCCTCAAATAATCACCCTGGCTATTATTTGAGGAAATGTGGTAGTTTTGCTGTGCAAAGCCAAATATATTTGAAAACAAAACTGCTCTGGGGAATAATTCTTTGAATTTGAACAACTGCTGACATACTGTCATCGTTGCAAAACTCTGAGATACGGAGCACCTTAGTTCGCATTTTTCCCCTTGGAGCAGTTTAGATTTCTAACCAGTTCTCAATTATTCCGTAGCGTTTGGTCAAGCTGAAATCTGATGGCACAGAACTTGTGACCAATGTCCACGTTGCAGCTGATGCAAGGGAATCTATGAGAAGGCTGGAAGAGGAAGAACAACGAAGGCAAAGGTAAGCTGATATGTGCGTACTATGCATGTATGTACATTTCATCTTAAATAATTAGAGAAATAGGAGTTTAGTCATGATCTCTAGATTATTGAAGGAATGCAAAGCTTGACAGGGTTAAAAGAAATCTCCCCCTCATACCTTTTTAAGAATGGTTAGTCATGTATTTTTATGGTGTATATTTAATATATAAACAAAGTTCTTGTTTGTTTACTTCAATAAAGGAATGAGAAACTAGAAGCTGAAGCAAAATCTGCGACTGAAAAATTTGAAGAGGTAAGAGTTGTTGTTTTGTGTCAAGGATGTTTTTCAGTTAAAAATTTAAAATATTCTGTGAAGAGTCTTCCTGTATTCTGCACTTAAGTTTTGATATTGTTGTTGAACCTTAAGTGTGAATTATTTTGACTTATCTCAGATTACCAAGAAATGGGAATATGCTCTCTCCAAAGAAATACCTCAAGATTTGAATTCAGTGAGTAAACTGCATTTTTCCGTTAGTTTCATGGA